ACAATCACAGGCAAATGCATTTATACACCCACAAAACCATGCACACACAATCACAGGCAAATGCATTTATACACCCACAAAACCATGCACACACTACACACATGCACCTTACACACACACACTCGGACGCTGGAGGTGCCCTGTGCTGGGTGCTGGGCTGAGTAGGCAATCCAATGGGAGGAGCATGTGAGTCCTCATGGCCCAGAGGAGGCGTGGGGAGCCAGAGAGGGGCCAGGCCCTGTCAGCAGTGTGGGGACCACTTTCGGGCCGTGGGGACATTGCCCCCAGGCTGGGACAGGACGTGCTGGGAACACTTCATGGAGGACCTTGGCTGGCTTGAACCACAAGCCAAGGTGACCTGGCAGCAGGACCAAAGCCCCACCGCAAGGCCTCGTACACGGTGGGTGTGGCGGCAGCGCAAGGGGGCTTTGCAGGTCGGGCTGAGGACTAGACTGTGGGAAACTGGGGTCTCGGGGCTTCCAGGAGCCAGGGAGCCCACTTTGGAGGCCCCTCAACAGACCAGGAGAGTGAGACCCAAGGGCACGCTGAGGCCTCTTATCTGCCTCAGCTGCGTGTCCCGGGGAGCAGCAGCAAGTGGGCAGGACGGCCCAAGCATGCTGTCACCCGCTGGCCCTGGAAACTCTGCCTTTATCTGCCGGTCATTTTGGTTGCCTTCCCCAAGTGGTCATCTTAATGGCATCATGAAGGGCAGTGGCCTCCCCGTCCTAGGGGCCTGCCGTCCAGGATGGAGTGGCCGTGAGGAAACCGGCCGTCATGAGGCCTGTGGCCTTTTGCCATCACTGGGCAATTGCAGCTTCGTGGTCCCCAAGCACCGAGGAGAAGGAATCTCAGATCACGTCAGGAGGTCAAAGTCCTAGAGCGGCATCAGGGGCCATTCCACAGGCATGCTCGGAATTACGTCTACACTGTTTGAAAGTGAACTTCTCCAAGGGCCAGCACATGTTACTGAGATTGATTTAGAAACACTCTGAGCCCACCCCGGTGGGGGTGGAGGGGGTGCAGCTGCTCTGGTGAAGCTGGGGTAAGCGTGAGCGCTCCCGGGAGGCCGTCTGGGTCAGGGGTGTTCAGCGCAGGGGAGGGTTCTCTGTCCGGAAGGGACGCCAGCAACACAGGGACTGGGAAGTGCCAGCTCGGGGCCCCTCACGCGACGCAGAGCGCAGTCCTGAGGCACGGGCCCGCCCGCGGAGGAAGCCCCCCCCAGTTCCCGCGCCTTCCCCGGGGCAGTCCAGCTTGCCAGGGGCAGCAGGCGGCGGGGGGTGTTTTAAGGGTACAGGGTGTCCAATTGGCAGATGAAAAGTTCTGGAGATCCGTCACACAGTGTGAATATACTTAACACTACTAAACTGCACTTACTGGTTAAGACAGTAAATTTTATGTTTTTAACCACAACTTGAAAACATATAAAAATCAACACTGTGTAACCTATTAGAATGGTCAAAATCCAGAACACTGACAACACCAAAGACTGGCGAGGCCGTGGAGCAACTTTCATACATTGCTGGTGGGACTGCAGAATGGTACAGCCACTGCGCAAGTCAGTTCCACCGTTCCTTAAAAAAGGAACCCTTTTTATCATAAGATCCAGCAAGCTCCTTGATTACTGACCCAAAGGAGTTGAGAATTGATGTTCACACAAAAACCTGCACACAGATATTTATAGCAGCTTTATTCATCATTGCCAAAACTCGGAAGCAACCAAGATGTCTTTCGGTCGGTGGATAAATGGTAGTACATCCAATGGAATATTCTTTAGTACTAAGAAGAAATGAGCTACCAAGCCACGAAAAGATGTGGAGGAACCTTAAATGCATTATCACTAAGTGAAGGAAGCCAATCTGACAGGGCTGCACACAGTAGGATTCCAACCATAGGACATTCTAGAAAAGGCAAAACTATAGAGATAGTAAAAAGCCCAGGGGTTGGGGAGGAGGGAGGTAGGACAGGCAGAGCACAGAGGTTTTTTAGGGCAGTGAGACTACTCACTACTGATACTGGAACAGTTTGTCCAAACCCACAGAACGTGCAACACCAAGAATGAACCCTAATGTTAACTATGGGCTTTGGGGGACAATGATGTGTCAGTGCAGTAGGATCACGAGCTGTCACAAAAGTAGCGCTCCGCTGGGGAAGGCCGTGTACGGGGGCGGGGGGCAGGGGGTATTATGGGAACGTTCTATAACTTCTGAATACTGCTATGAACTTAAACTTGCTCTAAAAAAGTGTACGAAAAAAAATACATAGAACTTAAAAGCAGTGGGAGCTGAAATGTACGAGTCGAGGTTTCCTGCAGAAGCCAGAAAGCTGGAGCCAGGGAGGGAGTGTGGTGCACAGCCATGCCCGTCAATGGTCATGTCAGAAGCCAGTTTGAGGAAAGACCTGGAATCATCACAAGTGCCTTGCTCAAGGATCATCAGCAAGTCAAAAGGGGACAGAAGAAGAAAAGCAAAATGACAAAGAATCATTTGCTGTCAGGAAAATATTTTCCTCAAGATACATATTTTTCCAGTTTTGTGGTTTAGCCCCTGACACCTGAAATCTATCAAATTCATTTGAACTGTGTTAATGCCAAGTCCAGACCAGACGGAAAGCCACACAGCTCAAAAAGCCATCATTTCGGTGTTTTAGCTTTCTGTGTGCTTAGGTGCCCGAGCTACTGAGGGTCTAGGCCCGGGCACCTGAAGAGTGTGGTTAGCAAGATGAACAAAGATGCGCAGATGAGAGCAGCGATTAACCAAAAGTTGATAGAAACTGGAGAAAGAGAACGCCTCGAAGAGTTGCTGAGAGCTAAATTAATTGAATGTGGCTGGAAGGACCAGTTGAAGGCACACTGTAAAGAGGTAATTAAAGAAAAATGACTAGAACACGTTACTGTTGATGACTTGGTGGCTGAAATCACACCAAAAGGCAGAGCCCTGGTACCTGACAATGTAAAGAAGGAGCTCCTACAAAGAATAAGAACATTCTTGCTCAGCATGCCAGCCTTTTAAGATTGGATGAGATTGTGTTGTTTTGTGGTTTTATTTCTGAAAGTAAAACTTGCCATAAATTAGGAATCAATTTCCCAAAATAAAATCCTTTTTTGTATGATGGTATACAGTTTTCAGTAATGATGTATACATTGTATTGATTTTTTCCCTAAATGTGTTATTTTAATAAATATCTCATGAATGAGAAAAAAGAAAAAAAGCCGTCATTTCTATGCAGGTCCCATGGCCTGCACAGCACACCCACCCACACCTCCACCCTGGTGAGCGAAATGAGAAATGGGCCGCACTGCTTGATGGAGCCATTAAAACAGAATTAATCTGCCATTTCTGCGGCCCCAAATTGATGAGCACACAAGAACTCATTTATAATTGCTTATTTCTACTTCACAACATTCCTTCCAGTATTTCTGTTCTCTAAAAAAGTCCATTAACATTGCATTATTTTTTTATAACCTTTAAAATTAATGTTGATAGGAAATATGTCCTCATACCAACTTAAGTAAATCTGACCGTCCCCACACACTGGCTGAGATCCCCCACCCACCAGGGAGAAGCCACAGAGAGGAGCCCTTGGTTTTGTTTCATTCCAGGCCCTGCTGCGAGAGCCACTGGGGTGGGGCGGGGGGGGGGGGGGGGGGACGGACGATGACACACTGGGGCTCGCTCAGCTGGACAGTCAGATGGCGGCCTTCTCTGCAGTGCAGCAAAACCACCTTTGGGGACTGGAATGGGAGGAGGAAGAGACGCGTTTGCTTTGTATTAAACAAAAAAGGAAACAAGGTTAAAATGAAGTTTATTATTTTTTGATTTTTTTTTTGTTTTTTAAATAAAACTGTTTGTGAAACAGCTATTTTATCCCCACGGCAGAGTGACCCCTGAAAGATGCACTAACCCCTTCTTAAGGCCTTAACAAGATTTTTTTTGTACTTTTTTCTTCTTTTTTTAAAACTCAGATATTTAAAAATTATACAATTTACAAAACAAAACAAAACAATACAACATAAAGAATCATGTAGCGTGGGGCTGCTCACCTGACAGGCCCCCTTTTCCTTTATAAAAACGAAAGCAAAAGAAAAAAGGGTTAACTGGGTGTTCCTGGTCAGCGTAACCCACACGGATCACACCTGACACAGTCCCTCCCCCCAGTGTCAATTCCTACAGCTTAGATTTCCTGTCCTTCCGTCGTCCTCGGGGAGGCAAGGCCCAGCTGCCAGGAATGCGCCCAGAGGCGGGCCA